GCTCAGCCAGTTGAGCGTCCGACTTCGGCTCAGGTCATGATCTCACAGTCCGTGGGTTCCAGCCCCACATCGGGCTCTGTGCTGACAGCTCACAGCCTGAGGCCTGCTTCCGATTCTGTGTCCCCACTCTCTCCGCCCCACCCCTGCTTGCACTCTCTCTCTGTCTTTCGAAAATGAATAAACATTAAACATTTTTTTATTAAATAAAAGTAGTGAACAAGACAGCTGTGTTGGGGAGCAAAAGGCAACGTTTGTGCGACTTTTAAAGAGCAAAAGACGTTTCCAGGAGGTTCCTTGCTGGAGGCAGGCCTCTCCCAGCTCCGTCCCGTCTCGCCCCTTCTCTCCTCTGCCTCCTGACGCCTTCCAGGCAACCAGGGAGGCCAGAGAGCAAAGCCTTCCGTGTTGGAGGGGGCAGGGGTCCCTCCCTCAATCTGCCTCCAGCTTCGCTCTCCACCAGATCTGAGTCTGAGCAGAGCCCCCGTCAGTGCACCTGGCGTCACTGTGGCTGTGACCGAGGGGAGGGGCGACCTGCCCCCTCCACCCAGCTCTGCCGCAGACCACCGCTGGGCTGGCATCTCGCTTCACGGGGAAGGTGCAAGGCCAACCCCAGCGTCTGCAGGAGGTGGAGGGGGGGCGGCCATGCTGGGAAAGGGGGGGCAGGAGGGGACAGAACAGCAGCCACCCAACAGCCTCCAAGTCCATTTCCTTGGTTCCTCTGCCACCGCTGTCTATGCAGGCAGTTGAGGTCTGCAGTCTCTGGTTTCACGTATTCCTGCCCGGGTCCCTCGGGGTTCGCGGCAGTTGTAATGGATTGTTTTGAAGGTTTCAGACTCTAATGGAAGTCATAGTACATCTGTTTTCTGCTCTTTGCCTACCCCGTTATGGATGTGTTTGATTAATAAATCATGGGCAAATGAATTAATTATTCCGCAATGATCGGTCTCCTTGGCAAACATCTTTCAAGACGAGGCAGACGGGGGAAGAAAGACTAAAGGAGGTCTTGGCGTCGAGTACGTTGAGGAGGAACGCACGATCCGAGGCTCCTGAAGTTTCTTTCCAGGCCCACGGATCTTCCAGGGCAAGGCTGCTCTCAGCGTTCGAGCTGGCGGAGGCTGGTGGTGCCAGTGGTGTGGCGGGGGGGGAGGGGGGACGGAGGGCAGAGGGGAGGCCGCCATCTCTGCAGGTGCAGGGAGCCTTTAGGTCAAGAGCAAGAGGCGGTAGGTGCGAGCGTCCCATCGGGGAGGCCCTGGCCTCGCTTCCGAGCCGCTATGCCCAAGGCCGACATTCAAACACACTGGAAAAACCCAGGGTGGAGGGAAGCGTGGCCCCGTCGAATAATACAGCGAGCTGTTCGCCCAGCGGTTCTCAAGCTGAGGTTTGCGTCAGAGTCCCCTGGGGGCTTTTTTTTTTTCTAACAGCGCAGACAAATGAGCCCAGTTCCCAGAGTTCCTGGTTCAGAAGGTCTGGGGTGAGACTGAGAACTTGCGTGTCGAACAGGGTCCCAGGTGCCGCTGCGGGTCCAGGGGCCACATGGGGAGAAACGCTCTTTTCCCCAATTGCTCCCACCTCGATTCCTGTCTTCCAAGGCTCTTCTGTCACCCTTCCCCACCCCGGCCTGTCCCCCAGCATCTCACTCCCCCAGGGCCTCTACCGCTTTCCCCTGGGCTCCTCTCCTCCCTCCTCCCCCCCACCTCCACCCCCACAGCCTCCCACACCCAATGCCCTTCCTTTTTTTTTAAATTTTTTTAATTTTATTTATCTGAGGGAAAGAGTGCAAGCAAGGGAGGGAAAGAGAGGGGGAGAGAGAGAATCCCAAGCAGGCTCTGCACCATCAGCACAGAGCCCGACGCGGGGCTCGAACTCATGAACCATGAGATCACGACCTGAGCCCCAGGCGCCCCACTCACCCCGACTCTCTTCCTAAGCAGTGGGAAACCCGAGTTTCTTGAAAACTGAAATGCAGACAAGACTGGGAAAAAAACCAGTCTGTCTCCCTGGCTGGCAAGGGACTCTAGTCACAGGCCATTGGGGACAGTATGGGCTGGCCAGCACGCAGAGTTCCCTACAGCTGATAGAGCCGCCTGGGGCCGGTGCAGCCAGGCCAGGACGCCGCGGGACGGTGGGTGGGTGAGGTTTGCCCTCCGGTACCCGGGGGGATGGAGGAGATGGGGTCACCTGGGGGACAGCCTCCAGGCTCCCAGTTCAGCTCCAAAGATCTGTCCCCGTAGAAGATATCAGGCTTGGGCTGGGAGCATCAGACTCCCTCGGAGAGCTTGGTAAACATGGGTGCTGGGCCCGCCCCACAGCCCCGCACCTCATAGGTCTGGAATAGGAACCCCTGGATGGAGGCAGGTGAACCGGGGTGAGTTGGTCACCCACCCAGGGCGGGACGCTTTGCCCTTCCAAGAGGTTCCCAGGAGAGGCTGACGCTGCTGGCCCCAGGCAGCTGCAGAGGCCCAGACACCGAGAGGCTCTGAGCAGGGGCCCGAATTCAGACTCCGCAGGGCTCTAGTCGGAGAGGTGGATGTGGACGTGGGAACTCGGGTCATGAGTCTGAGACTGATGGGGGCCCAGGAGGGCTGGTCTGAAAGGTGAGGTCATAATGCATCGACATCGGGTGAGGCCGTGTGTGCAGGGGGGGCGCGCCCCTGGGAACAGACTCCCCAGGGCCTCTGCCCTCGCCCCCCGGGGACAGGCCTGTGGCCTGGGCTGGAAGGGAAGCCGGTGAAAACTGGCTGCTTGGTGGCTGGGGCTGACGTGGGAGCAGTCAGCTTGGAGAAGGAAGAGAAGCAAAGAATCAGAGACATGAAGACACTTGTCAGCTGGGTGTCTGTATTTGGGAGGCAGAGTCGGGCCAAATGCATATCATCTGTTTGTACATTATTTCTTCAAAGGCCGGCTCGGGCAGTTTTGGGGCGCTCGGCCCAGCAGTGTGGGGGCATTGCAGAGCCGTGGGGGGAGGCGGTGGGACTCTGTCCCTCATCTCCCCCTCCCTTCTCTGGAAGTCACCAGCTTCAGATGCTAAAGGATCTTCCGAGTAGAAGTAGACTGCAGGATCCCGGAGGGGCGGTGGATATTTGTTGAATAAAGGAAGGGATAAGAATGTGTGGCTGCTGCGAAGGTAGAGACAGCTCTCAGCGGGCCTTCCGTGTCTGGTCCTTAGACACAGACAGAGCACTTGACCATACAGTGACACCTTACCGTGGCATTCCCAGGCGCTGTTCAGTTTCCACCATTCTGATCTTGCCATCCAAATGTCCTGACAAGGACTGATTTTCCTTTATCTGTGTTATCTGTGGCCTCCTGACTTCCCCTCTGCCGGGAACTAACACAACCCAAGTCTCTGCCAGATGCTGTTAAGTGCTGAGATATGGACCCCAATATGACACAGCCGCCCCCTTCACCCCCAAAATACCTCAACTGTGTCACAATCCTTTTTTCAGGAACAGAGAGATTGAAGAAAGCTGAGCGCACCTACATTCAGCCTCTGTTACCAGCCTGAGCTGGTCTGTAAGCCTCTCTTTCCCCTTAGGGTTGGTTTTTTACCCAGAAGGCTCTTTGGCCCCTCATGCAAATGTATTTCCAGGCTGGCCTCAGCAGTGGCCGACTGAGGATCAGCTCCCCTTTCCCACCACACCTGTAATGTCATTGAGACAGGAGTGGAATCCTAGGAGCTTCAAGGCTACTGGCCGTGGGTGGCCTGCAGAGCCTGGGGGGGCACCCTTCCCCCACCATGCCCGTCTTCCTGGGCGTCTGTGGGTCCCTTCCACAAACTGTAGGGCCATGGCTGTGTGAACTATTGACTTGCCTATCAGTGGCAGATTTGACTTTATTTCTTTTTTATTTGTTATTTCTTTTTTATTTAGAGAGAGAGTATGAGCGGGGAGAGAGGGGCAGAGGGAGAGAATCTTAAGCAGGCCCCACTCTCAGTGCGGAGTCCGACCCTGAAGTGGGGCTCGGCCCCCCGACCCTGGGCTCATGACCTGACCCGAAATCAAGAGTCAGACGCTCAACCAACTGAACCCCCAGGCGCCCCCGCCTTGACTTCAAATAGCTTTATAGATGGCAGGTGCGAAGTTTGTGGAATCATCAGGGGTCTGAAGTTTCCAGCTCCACAGCTGATTCCTACCAAGGAGCAGCAACGCTCTCCATGGCGTTGTCTCCTTCACGAGGCTCGGGGACTCTCAGAGGCCAGGGCCCAATCACCTCGGATCCTTGTGAGCATGTTGCTCTTACCATTATCCCCTGACAGGCAGGGGTCACCTGGAAGGTCACTCAGCCTGTCAGTGGCGGACTCGACTGAGATTCTGGGTCATTGGAAAAGCCCAGCAGCCGTCCGAGGAGGAGGGGCCGCAGAGAAGGTTCTGGAGAGCGCTTTGGGAGAACTTTCTGGGAGGATGAACTCAGCTCCATGTGGTCCTGCTTTAGAAACTTGGCCCCTCCCGTCTCCTCCCTGCCTGCCCGCCTCGCCTCGCCTCGCCTGACGGGTGCTCATGCGCTCACTGCTCTGGCATCTGCAGTGACGCGGAGCAGTGTGGATGCCTGGTCCCGGGCACGCAGCGCAGCCACGTCGAGGCCCGAGGCATGGCGGCTCCTGACTCACCTGCAGCATGAGCGTGCCTCCCCTCCTCCGGCGGCGGCCCTGCCTGTTTGCTCTGCCCCGGGCTCAGCAGGGCCCTGGAGAAGCCTGTCAGCAGTTTCTGGAAGGGAAAGAGGGCGTGACCGGTGGCCTGCACCCCTGGGCTCCGGGCTCCAGGCTCTAGTTCTGCATCTGCGGCTCTTCTGCTGTCTGAACTTGTGCAAGTCATTTCACCCTCCGGCTGCAGTCTCCCCATCTCTAAAATAACAGGGCTGCTCAAGATCTTTGCTCTTTTTTTTTTTAAGTTTATTTATTTATTTTGAGAGAGAGAACACAAGTGGGAGAGGGGCAGAGAGAAGGAGAGAGAGAAAGAATCCCAAGCAGACTCTGCGAGGTCAGCACAGAGCCCGATGCGGGTCTCGAACTCACGAACTATGGGATCCTGACCTGAGCCAAAACCAAGAGTCAGATGCTTAACCGACGGAGCCGCCCGAGGGGCCCCCATTTTTGTTCTGTGTGTCCCCTGGATCAGCAGCCGTTGCATCGCCTGAGAGCTTGTTAGAAATACAGAGCCTCGGGCCTCCCCCCAGACCTCCTCTTCACCAAGATCCCCCACGAATACTTTAAGTGCTGCTCCCATGCTCTCTGAGATTGGGTTCTGTTCTCCTGTCTCCTGATTCTGCGCCCTAACGGGTCCCCGAGCATCGTCCTGGCACATACTCCATGGCAGACCAGGGTTGCTGTCCACCCCCCCCACATGCATTGCCCAGTTGTGCCTTCTCCATTCTGGCTCTTCTTAGGGTCCCCGATGGTTGACGCCCTCCGACGTGGCCTTCCCTTTTCTCCTGGGGGGCTGATGCCAGGGCCAGCGGGTAGCCAGCTGTACTTTCATTCAGGGCACCTGCTACAGCTCTAATCACAGCCTTACTCCGCACTCACTCTCCGAAGCGGGGGTCACACGCTGCCCGCCCCCTCTAATTTGGGAGACGGCTCAGGAGTTGAGCAGCCGCACTTACATGGAGAACCATCCAGCATGCTTCTAAATTGCCCGCTAGCAGAGGTGCAAAGGTGAGTGTGGAGAAAGTGCCAATACCCGGGTAGGTCCCTGGAGTGGGCGCGATGTGAGGCGGCTGCTAAGCCCATCTCCGTTCCTCCGGCCCCTCAGATGCTGAGAACATGCGCTCTGGGCCAAGCGCGATCCTGCTCTTTCAGGATTTGCCTGACTCAACGCAAATGAAAGCCAGCGATTGCATTGGGCTCCAAGGGAAGGAAGGGAAACCGCTTCTGTTTCTAGAATAAAAAAACAAGGAAAGGAAGTTAACGGGGCCTCCAACGGTGTCTTACTAAGGAGCTGTTCGGGGTGATGTGCATCACGTGAGACTTTTCCATGTGAGACTTTTCCTTCTGCACTAGCGTTAGACAAAGTGCTTCCTCGCTTATGTGGAGTCAGGTCAGAAACACAAAGAAGTGGGATTACACATGCAGATGGTCAAGGAATCTTCCGGAGTAGGAGGAGAATCTTTCTTCTTAATGGCCTGTCTGGAACATTCCTTCATGATGGTTTCCGAGTCCAGCCTAATTCTGAGAGGCCAGGTTGGTGGCCAAGCACGGAGCTTCTGGAAGATTCCATGGTGTCAGGACAGCCCAGCCACTGTCTCCATCCACGGTGCTGTGCCCAACGTCAACTTCCAGGGCTTGCACAGAACCAGGTTAAACTTTTGAGCAAAGATGCTGTAAAGCTGAGGGGGATTGAGGATTCTTACAGGAGCACGCATGCTCCGAAATACGGCGTGTCCCGTTAAAAGCGGAAGGTCAAAAGTCAAACCTACTTCTACAGGCAGGTTCCTACCGCGTGGCACAGAACATCTGAGGCAGCTTCTAGGGGACAACTTACACTTCTGAGGGTGAAATATAAATAAAAAGTACAAAATTAGACCACGGGAAACATAAATTACTTATGCAGGTCGAGCCCTGGGGTCAGGCGCACGTCTGACTAGCCTCCTAGCCAGGGCTGTGTTTGACTGGAAGCAGCTGCGTTAAGATAAAAACAGAGTCCTGCTCTTCGGATCGAGGAATGAATAGCGCAGGGACAGCACTGCACAGACCTCTCTTGCTTTGTCAGAATACCGCCTGGGGGCCTGGAGGACGGCTCAGTGGACCGGGAGCTCAATATGAGTCACCCGGGCAGCCCGGCTGTGCAAATACAAATGGAGGGGCTGTGTTCATGGTAAACCGTGTCCGGCACTGAGGACGGTGTCTCTTGCACATCACACGGCATCAGCTGCGCCTTGCTTTTTGCAGCCGGCGTCTTAGAATATAAGACGGTCCACCCGCACCATCCCGAGGGGTGGGTGAGGCGGGCCGTCAGGGCTCACACGGCCTGGCCACGCAGCAGCCCTACAGCCTGCGTGTGGTTGCAGGAGGCCCCGTGTGGGCTCCCGTGCGCCGTTCCGGCTGTTTGTCTGTAACGGGGCCTTGACAGGAGTGGGCATCTGAGCCCCACAGCCAGGCTGCTCCCATCAGAGCCCCCGTTGGAGAACTTGAAGTCTTCTGGGGCCGTCCCAGAGAGGCTGGGGGGCCAGCGGGGACGCTGGACTCTTGGCAGACGCTGGAACCTTCCAGAAGCCTGGCATTCATGCCACTTGTGGGCGTCCTAGTGGGCGCTGCAAGCCTCTGGCTCCTCCTGGATACTTAGTAAAGGCGCTTGCGTGTGCGGCAAAGAGAGAGCTTCTTCCCCGGGCTTTGATGCTCACAGGTCAGACGGGACCTGTGTTGAATAAATGAAGGAAGCTGTCAGACCGAGACTTGAATGTGTCATTTCAAACCTGTGTGCGGTTCTCAGAGCCAACAGGACTTGGGTTTGGATTCTAGCGCTACCTCTCCATAGCACCCCTCCCGTGGGCTAGCCGTGAACCGCTTTGCGACTCCATCTCTCCAACCTGTAAAATGGGTATTTGAGTCCCTACCTGAGCTGTGAGCACCGGCTGAGGTCCTGAAGATAAGAGATTGGTCAGTGAACACTGAGGCACTCATCAAGTGTGAGCTCCCTCTCCCCACCCCTTCCCTACACCCACAGCTCACGGAGTCATTCCCCAGGCTCTGGATTCCACCCCCAGGTCCACCTTGGACATGGTCAGACATCCATCTGTCTTCGGTTATGACTCCAGTGTCCTCTCCCCCTCTCTCCTGGCTCCTTTCCTCCCCTGACCCTCCCGCTCTATGTTCTCGATTCCCTCCTCTGAAAAAAAAAAAATCCTACTGAAGACCAGCGTAGCCAGCAGAGCTTGAATCCTGTCATTTCTTTTCCAAATACGACTGCAGATTGGAGACAGATCTGTGTTGGTCTCTTTAAAAAAAGGTTTTTTTAAATGTTTATTTATTTTTGAGAGAGAGAGAGTGACAGAGCGTGAGCAGGGGAGGAGCACAGAGAGAGGGAGACATAGAATCTGACGTAACTCCAGGCTCTGAGCTGTCAGCACAGAGCCTGACGCGGGGCTTGAACCCACGAACTGTGAGATCATGACCTGAGCCAAAGTGGGGCACTTAACCGACTGACCCCTCCAGGCGCCCCTGCGCCGGTCCCTATGTACATCCCAGTGGCCACTCCGTGCACAGCACTGGTCCCATTTTGTCCCCACCATCTAGGGATAAAGGCTCACAGCCCAGTCCAGTTAACTTTCCTCAGGCTACAGCCTTGTTGACGGCTCTGAGGCCGTTGATGTTCAGTCCCTCACTCCTAGCGTAGGGGCCATGGTAATCTTCTCTGTATCGTTCCAATTTTAGTATATGTGCTGCTGAAGCGAGCACAGTCCCTCACTCCTGACACATGTCCTCTCTGTCACCTGCAGTGTGTCACTCCTTTATTATCACCGGGGTCCTCTCTGTGGCCTTCCCAACCTGCCTGCCCTCCCCCACTCCCCAAAAGCAAGCCTAGCTCAAGGTTCTGACTTCGACTCCCGTAGGAAGTAACCCTGGCCAGGCCACCTTAGCACCCTAGACAGTGCATGTGTGAGTGCGTCTGGCTGCTTCACAGTAAAACTCGACTTACAAACCGGGAGAAGGGCCACATTTGGCCCAGGGCCGGAGTTTGCCATGTGGACCATATGCGTGGGGATGCTTGGTTTCACAGCCTGGCACCACCACTCGCTAGTTCCGTCATGTTGGACGAGGTAACTTAGACTCTGTGCACCTTGACGTCCTCATCTGTAAAGGGGATTCATACTTAATAATGATGATGATGATGGTACTTTCTGCAGTGCTGTGGGTGGGGTGAAGGAGATCCCGTGCAGAGAACCTTAGGGTCCCCGCTCCTCCTCCCTTCTTTTCTCCGCTTCTGCACACCCCGTTTTCTTTCCCTTTCTCTCTACCTCCTCACGCTATGCAATCCATGCTCACGTCTCCAGCCCCTTGCTCTGTCTCCCTGCCCCGATCTCCCTTCTGAGTTTAAAATCTGCATGTTCTAGGCCATGTACCCTTTGCATCTCAGACTCCATTCTGTGTGAAGGAAAGCGCATCCTCGGAAGCAGACCTATGCCCTCCCCTGACCTCCCTCATTGCGTGGGTAGAGGGGCTCTCTGAACCCTTTGATGCCACCATCGGGCTTCAGGAGACCGGGACGGGCCATCTGCTGGGCTCGTCTGGTCCCACTCACGCGGTCTCTGTCTCCTCTGCTTTCCGTGGCCCTAATTTCCTGTCTGCATCTTCCTACCTGCCCTCTGAGCGTCCCAAGGGGTCTCCCTGCCCCCGCGCCTCTTCCCACCTGCCAGCACCTGCTGTCACAGGCCAGAGCCTGGCCACGTCACTCTCTAGTCCCCAAAGTCAGCGCAGTGTCCTCCTTGCTTTCTGAGTGTTGGAATCCTCATCTTGCCTCTGATGTCCTCCAGCCAACACCCCTGACCCCCTCACATGTGCTTGCTTGCTCTTTCCAGAACATTCTTTCCATCCCCCCCCCCACCCACCTTTCTGCAGTCCTTCCCTGAGGCTCTTCCCAAGCGCCATCTCTGCCTGTCATGTTCTCTCCTGCTCCTTGGGACCCAGGCCAGATGTCCAAAGTCACACACACACCCCTCCCTGGCCACACCCGTAGGACCTCCTCCTCACCTGGGCGTTCGGGCCCCTGCACCCGGCTGAGGTTATCTCACGGTGCACAGTTTCCGTGTGCTCTTGCGAAGCCCTGTGTACTTACTGCTTTATCTCTCCCTCCAGATCAAACATTCCTCCAGGGATCGGAGAAGTGGGTGGCCCTCCACGCGACCCCAGCACTGCGTGTGTTCACAGCACCGGTGTGCTGAGCTTGCCCGCCCCTGCCCCGGGCTGTACTCCACCCGCCCCTCTGTGGGCGGAAAGTTGGAAAAAGTTGATGGTGAAGAACAGGTTTTATTTTCCCCGGGCTCGGGGCTATGAGCCTAACATGCCCTTGGGCTTCGAGTATTGCCCGTGTGTGTTTGTTTCTGGGGTGTGTGCATGTTTGGGGCACTGTGGCCATGCACCCTCCTGGAAAAGTACGAGAACCCTCATCTGGCTTTGCCTGGGGGCTTATCTCTATCTACAAGAAGTGCCCAGCAAGTGAACCGCGGAGCAAACAAATCCCGGGGTGTGAGGGGGGTTGGAATACATCGACTGAGTGATAAAATCAAATCACAGGCTGTCCCATTTGGCACACAGTGGACTGTCAAAAGAAGGCGCTCATTCTGGAACTCCTATGGGGGCCCTTTGAGGTGTAGTGGCCCAGGCTGTCCTCTGGTGCCTGGAGAACCAGGCAAGCCACAGGCTCAGGGCTCGAGGGACGACCGGGCCCTGCCCTGTCCTGACCCGAGTTCCACACCAGACCTCATGCCAGGGATGGGACCCGCTTATCTCGGGCGGTGGGGGTGGGGGGTACCCAAGGACAAGCTTGGAATGGTGATTCAGCCTCTGAATTAAAGGAGTCTGAGCTCTTTCCTTTTACTCCACTCTGAGAATTGGAGAGCTGACCATCACTCATAAATATGGTTGGGGTTTATGCCCAGGCCAAAGGTCATCGAATGTAAGGGAGTTGGGATGAGTCATTTTCTGAAATACTTTTTGGTTGGGGCGCCTGAGGGGCTCAGTCAGTTGAGTGTCTGGCTTCAGCTCAGGTCACGATCTCATGGTTCTTGGGTTCGAGCCCTGCGTCGGGCTCTGTGCTGACAGCCCAGAGCCTGGAGCCCGCTTCGGATTCTGTCTCCCACTCTCTCTGTCCCTCTCCTACTCATCCTCTCTGTCCCCCCCCTCAAAAAAAATACACATTAGGGGCGCCCAGGTGGCTCAGTTGATTAAGCATCTGACTTCGGCTCAGGACATGATCTCACGGTTTTTGAGTTTGAGCCCCGCATCAGGCTCTGTGGTAACAGCTCGGAGCCTGGAGCCTGCTTCAGATTCTGTCTCCTCTCTCTCTCTCTGCCCCTCCCCTGCTTGCACACACACTCTCTCTCTCTCTCTCAAAAATGAATAAACATTTAAAAAATACACATTAAAAATTTTTAAAAAAAGAAGTACATTGTAGCATCAGAACCCACGTTCACAGGAAGGCTTCCGTGAAAGTTCAGTGGATAAAACGGCGGAGAGCCCACTGTTCTGGACGTGTGTGTGTGGGATGGGGTGGGCAGGGATGCAGGAGTCCTGCCTGCTTGCTATACAGGCACTCCAGCTCCCGAGGGGTCTCCCGGGAGCCCCATCCGAACCTTCCGTGGATCCCGAATCTCCTACTCTAAAGGCAAGTATTGGGGCTTGCCCAAGGTCATCCAGGGGGCTCGTGAGCAGTCCCTGAGCAGCCTTGGCCCACACTGAGCTGTCATTCTGGGCCAGCCCTAGGCCTTGCAGGAGATGGAGGGACCCAGGGAGACTGGCTTTGAAGGTCCCGTAGAGCATGCAGTTTGGGAACTGAAAAGAAGACATTCGTATGACTCTATTTAATGGAGAATACAGTGGATCTCAAGCATTTGAAGTCCTTTTGAGTTTGGACAAAAAAAAAAAGTCTCGTGTTCTGGGACAGCTTTCTCACATGACCACTGAAAATGTTTAAGGCCATCCTCTGTCTTAAGAATTGATGATAACGGGGCACCTGGGTGGCTTAGTCGGTTAAGCGTCCGACTTTCGCTTAGGTCATGATCTAACGGTTCGTGGGTTCGAGCCCCGCGTCGGGCTCTGTGCTGACTGCCAGCTCAGAGCCTGGAGCCTATTTCGGAGTCTGTGTCTCCTTCTCTCTCTGACCCTCCCCTGCTCACGCTGTCTCTCTCTCTCTCCTAGAAATAAATAAAAATATTAAAAAAAAGAATTGATGATAACGCAGGGCACCTGGGTGGCTCAGTCGGTTAAGCGTCCGACTTCAGCTCAGGTCATGAACTCACGGTTCGTGAGTTCAGGCCCCCCCATTGGGCTCTATGCTGGCAGCTCGGAGCCTGGAGCCTGCTTTGGATTCTGTGTCTTCCTCTCTCTCTGTCCCTCCCCCACTCATACTCTGTCTCTCTCTGTCTCTCAAAAGTAAACATTAAAAAAATAAAAAAGAAATAATTGATCGTAACACCTCAAGTAGATCTATCTTGGAGGAAGGTCTTGCCCTTCCATTGTTCGCTGCTCTCCTTAATCATTGCTCCTCGAGTGCTGTCCACATATACACCCACTTAACCTGTGCAACGTCGTCATGAGGCAGGGCTAATCTTATCGTGTCGGAAGCAGGGATGCCGTCCTGTCCTTCACATCATCTACATTTCACAGATTTGGAAAGTAGGGCATGGGGGCATGACGCAGCTTATGCTGGGTCACAGAGCTGGTAAGGAATGGAACTGGATTCAGACCATGCAGTCTGGGTCTTGGCCCCTGCTCTTCACCATTGGGCTGTTGGGCTTCTTGCTATTCAAGCAGGAAGGATGTAAAGGGCAAGGAGCCTCACACTAGGGACCCCTTGTTGTTTGGGTGGTTTTGCTTCTCAGATGAGCTTGAACTGGTGATCATCATCACCATCATCACCATTATCATCACCAACATCACCATCATCATCACCGTCATCACCGTCATCATCACCATCATCACCATCATCATTACCGTCATCACCATCATCATCACCATCATCACCATCACCATCACCATCATCACCGTCATCACCATCATCGCCATCATCACCAACATCACCATCATCATCACCGTCATCACCATCATCATCACCATCATCATCACCATCATCACCACCATCATCACCATCATCATCACCATCATCACCATCATCATCCATGCCCTGGCCAGAGTGGTCTTTTAGAAACAGATCCACTTATGTCAAGCTCCCACCCCTGCTTACATCTCCTTAATAACTTCTTATTGTTCTTAAGGAAATGACCAAAATCCTTAAGATGGCCTTCAAGGCTTTGCCTGACCTGGCCTACTGCAGGCAGGACCCTTACTTCCTCCTGCACTCACCCCCTCTGCCTTTCAGTCTCCCTGCTGTCTTTTATTTCCTGGTACCCCAGGACCTTTGCTCAAGCCATTGCCTCTTCCTGAGAGATCCAGTCTCCAGGTCAGCTTCTCTGTTGACCATTCCCGTGAAGTGATGTTCCTTCTCTTCCCAGTCTTCACCTGACTCTGTTATCATACCTCCATGAGTGGCACTATTTGGTTACTGTCCAAGTCTCACTTGACGGGAAGCTCCTGGAGGGTGGAGACCTGGTGCATCTTATTCCCCAGGGCATCCCGAGTGCTTTACACAGTGCGTGACGTATCTTTGGGAATGAGCAAACACATTAGGGGTTCTTCTTGCTTCGAAGTCCCTTGATGCAAAGTGTAAACTGACCCCTCTGCTGCCCGGTTTGAGGTACACCAAGCCCTCTCAACTCTCAGTTGGGACCCTGGATTGGTTTACTTACCCTCTCTTATATGCTTAGTAAGGACATAGGACATGTGTAAAAACCACACTGTGTGCACAGAGCCTTCTCCTGCCTTGCCTCTTTTTGGCCATTGCCACCACAAGGCAGGTAATATTGTCCTCATTTTACAGATGAGGCTCCTGAGGCTCGGAGCCCGATGCAACCTGTCCAGCGTCACCCAGTGATCGAGCGGTGGCACTTGGAGCTCAGAGCAGGACTAGGCACTCGAACTTCCCACCTCTTTTCCTTCCTTTCATCTGCCAGGACTCGGTTTACCCTCCCCTCCCCAAACCTCTTTAAACTGCTGCTCTGGGCTCTTGGTTCCAAAGGTCAGATGGAATCCCCCAGAAGAGACAGGTTATCATTTCCTCCTTCCAACCCAGCAATGACCTTTATCCTTATACCTAGCGCTGGAAGGGAGTGCCCCAGCGTGCCAGCTTCCTGGCCACGGGGGGAGGAGGGGACGCTGATTGTTATTCCCAACCAGGGCTCGGATACCAGTCCCCTGGGGGAGAGCTGCCCATAATTCAGGGTTGCAGGGGCCAGACCGGCTCTATCCTCGGTGCTTCACGTCCCTGTGAAACATCATAACAATTATCTGCCCCCTCGGTTACATGGAGGCCCGGCTGGAGAGTGCAGCTCGGTGGATGAAATGGTCCGCATGGTCTCCTGACTTCTGACGCTCCCAGGCCAGCGGTGGCCCGGTGGGGGTGGGGGTGGGGGTGGAGGGTACGGGTGGCTGCCTGGGAGCGTGTGCTAGGAGGGAGGGGTGGGGGCGCTGCTGAGAGAGGACGCAGGTGCCCCGAGAGTGGATGTGGAGGCAGGTCTCCCCCGGGGTGCGTGTCTCCTCCGCAGGTGCAGGGAGGAAGTGAGGGAGAGGGGCCGTTCTGAGTGGTTCCCCACCACCGCTCCATCCATGCCAGGGCACACACGGCCCCTGGGGAGCTTTCCATCCTCTCCCAGTGCTGAGGACTTCCTCCCCGCCCCCCCCCGCCCCCAACCACAGCCAACAGAGAATCAAGATGGGCTCTCTTCTCCCACGTTCTGATCTGAAGGAATCACTTCCTGTCTGCACGGCGGGGATCACTCCTGGTGTATCAGAAATGGAGGGGGCCGTGGAGACCCTCTTTTCAGTCTCCATAAGGATGATGGGCCCCGGGGGAGAGGACACCTGTGGCCACCACAGGTGCAGCTGGGGCCCAGGTGGGCAGACCCTCCCCCAGCTGGGGTGCAGGCTTCCAGCAACTTCTCAGCCCCTGCAGCCACCCCACCAGGCGGGTCTCATGTGCACTCACCTGCTCCCCTTTGGGGCATTCTGGGTGGGAGTGGCAACACGCGACAGCCCCAGGTTCACAGTCAGCCGCCCGTGGAGCCCGCGCCCCTCCTCCTGTGCCCACGGCCAACCTACAAGTCCAGTTTTTCAAGAGGTACCTCGATGTTGAGGGAATACCAGGTGATCCAGAACAGCAGGCTGAGCACCAGGATCAGGGCCCCCGTGTAGACCAAGAAGTCCCAGTAGTCGAGGGAGGCGAAGATGCCCAGCAGCAGAAGGACCAGGCCCACGGCGTCGAACAGCAGGGCCAGCGCCACGAAGAGCACACAGCGCCCCAGGCTGCATCTTCCCCAGCGCCTGCCCAGGAGCATTGCCCGGCGGCAGCAGGAGGAGCCCAGCTGCGGCCCTGGGGCTGATTTGCATGGGAGGGTGGTGGCTGTGCCTCCTGCCGCCCGCGCTGGCTGGCCACTGGGTGTGAGCGGGCGAGAGAGCCGTCCGGCTGTCTGGAGCCACAAGGAAGTACACGTGGATCTACCTTTATGAGCACGGCAGCCAGTGGGGCAGGCTGTTTCTTAACTGCTTCGTGACTCAGGAACGGCCCCGACCAAAACAGACTGACCTCACTGCTAATGGGACCGGTCGCCGCCGGGCCAGCCGCGTTACGTGGCAGATGGGGAGGGGTCAGGTGCCCTGGGAGGGATTTTCGGTGTCCCGTCCCGCGCCTCATCCTCTGACTCTCGAGTCCTGGGCAAGTCCTGGCAGGTCTCTGAGCCACGATGCCTTCATCTCATGTGGTGGGGGTGGGGCTTCATTCCCCTCACCCCTCTGCCCTCCTCTTCCTGGTGCAGAAGGGAGGTTTTCAGTAAAAGATATGGAAGAGAGTCTGTTGACGTACATAGACTTTGAAATGGTGCAGTCAGAATCTGTCAGTTCTGGGGACCAAATAGAAACCCAGGGACGGTGGGTGTGCCTTGCAGATGTCTCCATTCTGAAGACCTGGGGAACTGGGAGGCAAGACCGATGGGGCGGGGTGGGCGGGGCGGGAAGAAGGGGGGACCTCTGGCCTCTGGCTGTGGTCGATTGGGCGTGGACCACGAGGCAGCTCCAGGCAAAAGTCAAGAAACATCTACCTGGTTCTCTGTGTCTTTTCCAGACTGACTGACCTGATGTTTGCCTTATGCCCCAGGGACACTGCTCGCTCGATCCCCAAGGGGCTACGTACAACACGGTGGCCTTGTCACTGCGGCCGCTCACGGGGTGTGCTGCCTCCCCTCTGTCTCTGATTCACTGCGGGGCCTTGACCTGCGCACCAAACCTCTCTGGGACTCAGTTTCCCCATGCATGATGAAAGAAATAATTTCCACTCTCTCTTGGCTTCTCCGGTCGATGCGAATAAGTAGAAGGCTCTGACTTTGTTTCCTGGTGTGAAATAGGCCAGGAGGAGTGAGAAACTTTCAGAACAAAGGTCCTGATGAGGGGAGGAGAATTGCGTGTTATAGATTTTAGGATCCAAAGCACCAGGAGACTTGACTCAGGCCACGTAGCCCATCTGGAGCATCTCCAAGTGAGAAGTAGCTGAGGCTACTCCCACCCAGAGTCTGCCTCCTTTTCTGGATATATGCTCCGAGGCAGTTGGGTAGGAGTACCTCCCCGTGCTGGGGAAGCGACCCGCTCCCACCTGCTGCCCCCAGCTTTGACCAGGAGAGTGTCTGGGAAGAATGGTGGGCCAACAGCCGTGCCCTGGGCAGGGCCAGGTGGGGCACCTGCACTTTTGCAAGCCCGGGCGGATGTGTCCAGGCCTGGCCGCCCGCCGGTTCCTGGGCACCTTTGCGGAGGAATCCCATGTGCCTGCGAACGATTTTCCCGGGAAAATGTTTACATGCTGGAAAGTCTCTTGAGTTCCGGGCCATCAGGCAGTTGACCACTGTAATCCTGTCTGACTTCGGGTGACAGGTCGGAGAGAAGCAGGTAACAGGGTGAGCCCGCTGCCTTCCACCCCTCAGCCCCAGCTCAGCATCCAGCATCCTAGGCTCTTCAGGTGCTGGGTCTCCTCACCATTTCTATTTCTGCTATTTTCACACACACACACACACACACACACACACACACACACACACTGGCACGCACATGCACGCACACACGTTTCCAGCTGAAGAAGAGGCTCGGACACATTCCCCAGCAAAAGGAACGAAATCGAAACCACTCACAATTTCATATCTAGAGCTAATCAGCATCCATCACTTAGTATTCATCCTTGGGAACCACAGACACCCCTCTTCTGTGTTAGGGAAAGGGGCCACATTGGCGCCCTGTCCATGTGGCCCTTCTTCCAAGGGGCAGGGCTCACCTTGGGCCCCGGGACCACCCAGGTTGTGAGAGCCCTGGGCACCGCCCACCCCCGGGGAGGGGGCGCTCTCTCCTGCTCCTGCGTCTCGACCTCCCGTCTCCATGTGCCAGGCCCTCTAGATGTTTACACAGCTGAGACAGACCGGGGCGGCTGGTGGAAAGCCAGCTGACACCGGAGCCCTCTGGAGTGGGGCCGCTCAAAGAGGAGGTGAGAATAGGAGGCAGCAGGACGTGGCTTGCCCTGGGGACACAGAGAGCGCCAGGCGCAGCCCCGAGCAGGCACAGGTCACTAGCGCGAGCATTCACTTGACTTGACGTAGCCCGTCTGCAGTGCTCGGGTCTAACAGGGCTCCCCAGCCCTGATCCCTCATCAGGTGGAGCAGCCACTGCGGGAGATAGCTGTGTGAGGTCCCCGGAGCTGCCGTGGCCCAGAAGCCCCCCAACGTGGGGGCTTCAACCACAGAAACTTCTAGAGGAGGAAAGTCTGAGCTCTGCACATCCACAGGGTGGGTTCCCTCTGAGGGCCGAGAGGGCGAATCTGTTCTTTGTCCCCTCTCCTTGCTTCTGGGGGTTTCCTGGCAGTCTTGGGCTTTCCTTGGCTCGCAGGTACATCACTGTTCTATGCGAGCATCATTCCCTTTGTGTGCCTGTCTCTGCGTCCGAATTTCCCATTTTTATAAGGACACCAGTTGTATTGGATGAGGGGTCTGCACTCTACTGCTGTTTGACCCCATCTTTTTTTTTTCATTAATTAATTTATTTGGATATAGAGGCAGAGACACGGAGAGAGAATCCCAAGCAGGCTCCGTACACTCAGTGCAGAGTCCAATGTGAGGCTCGATCCCATGAACTATGAGATCATGACCTGAGCCAAAATCAAGAGTCAGACATTTAGCCCACTAAGCCACCCAGACGCCCTGAAGTTTGACCCCATCTTCAGTAACTGTGTCAGCAACGACCCTTTTTCCAAATAGGGTCATGTTCTGAGGTATTTGAGGTTAGGATGTCAACGTATGAATTTTGGGGGACACAATTCAATCAGTAACAATAGCTAATAATGTTTGTTTTTGGACATCCTTTGACTTCAGCTGTAGTGTAGTTAGAAAATTCAGACTCTCAAATCAAGCTTTCTGAAACAAACATAAATATGAAGTCAGCACCCCATTAGGGCTGGCCCACCAAGCACCAGGATGGGCAGGATGCCCCTTGGCTGTTCCCATGTCACTAGGAGAGAAGGTGAGGAGGCCCCGCTGGGCTTGGCTGGCTTCTCCCCTTGTTCACTAAGGCAAGGAACAGGCCCTCTGCAAATGGTAACTCTGAGTGACCCCAACACATCTGGAAGCTTCAGCCAAAGTGGGAATTTTTTAAAATGTTTATTTATTTTTGAGAAGAAAAGAGAGAGAGAGAGAGACAAGTAGGGGCGAGGCAGAGAGAGAGACACACACACAGAATCCCAAGCAGGCTCCAGGCTCTGAGCTGTCAGCACAGAGCCTGACACAGATCTTGAACCCAAAAACCGTGAGATCATGGCCTGAGCCGAAGTCGGACACTTAACCGACTGAGCCCCCCCGGCCCCTCTGAGGCTGATGCCTCCGTGTGAAGAATTACAGAAACAGGGAGACAGATGGACATCTGTGGTGCCTTCTGAAGCATGAGCACAGTGTGTAGGGCACAGCCTGGTGCCCAGCTCCTGGCCTGGGGCTTCCAGATTTGGTCCCTGATGTCCCCTGGGCCCCCTCTCTTCTGAGACTTCCTGGGCCTTCGGGGTCTGTCTCTACCTCTGTGGCTCAGAGATGTTTGTCCTTCTGAACTGTGTCACAGGTCTGCCTCCTCTTAGCAACTGGCACCTTGTCACTCCCGTGGAAAGTTGTCATGATCTGTCATCTCCCTGTGTTGTCACCAGGATGACAGTGCCTCCATGACCTGGATTCTCAAGGGCGGGCTGAGAACCGAGCGACCGGGACAGTTCAGCCCGGCGGGCTCAGCTGACACAGAGTCGCAGTTCCCGGGGCACGATGGTGAATGACCAGGGCCCAGTCACCGCCCGAGTGCCAGGGATCAGATGTCGGGCGGGCATAGCCATGCCAGCCTGTGCCACTCACCGGCTTTGTGACCTTGGGCAAGTCACTTGCCCTTTCGGCCTCAATCTCCTCATTGTAAAATAATCCCTTATCTCACGGAGTTACTGGAAAGATTACATGAGTTCACCAGTGTACTGTGTGCTTAGGACCTGCACACGGCCACATAGACAAGGGTGGCCATTGTGGTTGTAGGGACACCTTCACCTTCCTTCTGCCACGATGCTTCTGGAGGGAAAACCCCAGGTTGGAAGGGACCCGCCACTGACTGTCCCGAGCCAGCATTTCTCCCCTTGATCGAGCTTGGCTTCCCCCGGCTGTGGCTCCTTGTCCTCCTCACTGTCCTGATACCCACTGGGTCCAGTTAGGACACGCTGAGCCCTCTCTCCATCTTTATGGGCACAGATACAACTTTGGGGGGACCCCTTATTCTCTTGGAATGTTCTTCTGGTCCCCAGTCTCTGCCTCATTCTCGCATCCATCCACTTTTCCCACTCTCATACTCTGCGTTTCTCGAGCCCTTGTCACCCGTGGGCTACGCGCAGCATTTGACCACACCTTCTGTCATTTGTTATATAAAATTATATTAATGTGTTAATGTGTCATTATATGAATGTGTTAATTTTACTATGTCTTGTTGTTTTTCTCCTTCTTTTTTTAACTTTAGTGAATTATTGTCACCATCAGTGGAAAACTGTCACTTGGAATAGACAGCAAGTATTTTAGAATCTATACACTGAAACCAAGATGATGTGATTAAACTAGACCACAAGTCCTCAAACTTTTTCTGTGACGGACCAGATTATTACACATTTTATTTTTATTTAAAAAAAATTTTTTACTGTTTTATTTATTTTTGAGAGAAAGAGACAGAGACAGAGTGCGAGCTGGGGAGGGGCAGAGAGAGAGGGAGACACAGAATCCGAAGCAGGCTCCAGGCTCCGAGC